AAATGGATCAGGTGGCGATGAGGACAAATTTGGTCCGAATTCATCTCCAGTCTTAGTCTGACTTCATCTCCTCATTTTCATCAGCATCAGCTTCAGGCTCTGCGCCCTTATTACAGAATCCAGGAAGTTGGTGCATCGCTGCTCGTGCCTTAATAATGAGTTAATAGAATTAGGTGGCCGAACAAAACAACGATCTTACAAATCCTGAAGGTCGTGAAGAAAGTTCTTGCGGTTTTTCAGTAACTTCAACATTTGAATGCTCATTTCTCTGTTCGAATAAAAGTGAATCAATCGAAATAGCAACCGCTACTAACAACACCCTTCTGCCAATCAGGAGCAGGTTGACTGTGAGACGCATCTTGTAGTGGAACTGACTTTCTGTCGATCAGTGCTGGGCTCATGAGCAATGTTTATGGTGCATTTCGTTCTTCATTGCCGTTCTCAGCTGCGATTCCACGGCGCGAGGACCAGGCCACCTTCAATTCCCCATAACCTTCTTTCTTTGGTCCTTCAGTTTGGAAAATGTCGAGAGCCCCGCTCCGCCCCCTTACCAGGTCTGCAGTTGTCGTAGGTAACTCATTCCTCATCACACGGATGCAATACGATCCAAACATTGATTCATTTCTATTGCATGAAAGCATTGAGGAGGAGATCTCAGAGCGGCGATCTTCTTGGTCCTGACTCAATTCGTGCTGCACCCACTTACCAAAATTCTCCGACTTCCCAATTTTCCCGCATGTGGGTACAAACCGTTTTGCTTGAAGCGTATAATGCAATGTCGCTCAAAGTTCTCTACCGTATTCCCTTCGACAAATGCTCTCAAACGTTCGTTGTCAACATGCTCATCATTTTCGACACTCCCATCACCGGTACGAAACTGCTTGAACAACCATAGTGCGGTAGATTCATACGTACATATTTCCTAGGCTAAACGCTTTGTTGATACCCCAGGACGCCTTGGCATTTCTGTCCCATTGAATTTTGAAAAATTATGCAAGTCCGCCGTTGGTCCATGGTTACTCCGATCACAGGAAAAACCTTGAAGGATCATTCCAGAACGTAATTGATAAATATATTGAAAGGAGGAAGAAGTCCTACAAGAAGAAATAGAAAATTTCAGGAAGAAGAACGAAATGATGCAAAATATTCCAGAACGTACATATAGCAACCTCAAAACAAGTGATATGAGAAAGTATATGGGACGTCAAAAACCTCCAGAGCTGCCTTGACGACCTAATTGAAAAACTCTGATGGAAGTATTCAGTAATTCTACACTGCACCGCTTTCATCTGACACCAGCTGTCTCGATGGCTGGACGCCCGCGGTAACTGTCAGCGTCATATGTCGAAGAGAAGCGTCTCAGGGCACTTGTCAACCGGGAAGCCTCTCTTCTCTTCCTTTTTCTTCCTCCTTCCTTCTTTTCCTTCCTTCCTTCTCTGATCCCTCCTCCTTTACCTTCTCCCTTCAACTACTGGACTGGTAGATGCCTCGAGAAAATACCCCTGGACCCTCGCAGCGAGAGCACGTCTGGTTGACAAGAGCCCCGTAACCGTGCGAGAAGGCGTCTGGCCACACCCACTCAGCATTTCCACCAATGATGTTGGCAGTATCCCGGTTCCCAGCCATCGGGCCCACTGTCTTTGAGGAACTTCTCACTATATTGAGCAAATAAGAATATTCTCCAGTGAGGAAAACATAAAGGTCAATGGAACCATAGTTACAGAAAACAATTTTACCTGTTCAGGCGTTAACCCGGTGGTCTCAGGCAAAAAGAAGTAACAGATCGCCACAGTCAGGGCGCAAGGAGGGAAGAAGAGTAGAAAGTAGGACAGAGGTCCTCCAAGAGCGGCTTGAATGGGGAAGTACACGATCAGTAGGATAGAGCGACTGAAAAAGGATTAAACAGAAAGTCATCCACATCGTAGTCAACGGAACACGTACGATCCGTTCATAGTAATGTTCAGCCACGTGTATGTAGCGGTTCGAACTTTCTGACTGACAAGTTCGCCAGGTACAAAAAAGCAAAGGGGTCCAGGGCCAGCGGCAAACATCAAGTTGAAAGCACAGATTGTTATCACCACACAAAATCCGATCCACTGCTCCTAAAAAGTCAGCTGACCATACCTGAAGATGTTACACAAAATGCCGAGGGAACTCACCTTGTTGACTTGGAACATATACATGAATCCAGATACCAGGACATTTATGATGCCGAGCGCGCTGAAAGTGAAGAGGAGAAGCGGTCGGCGTCCCATGCGTTCGACTAACTGTCCTGATACCGTTACGCCAATCTGAATAGGTAATGGGGTAGGAGCGTCCAGTTTCCAGTAAAAGTCTCGAACTCACCACTGCCATAACACATATGGCCAGATTGCCGAGTGAAGCATGAAGTGGACTGAGACCGACTTTGAGGAGAATCTCGAACGCGAAAGGCGTTGACAGCTAGAATTCCACGACCATAGTACGTAGGCAAATAGTAACTTATTGTTAGTGAACTATTACGTATAGTCGCAATTGAACCACTTATTTTTGTCTTGAACAAACTGAACTGAACTCAACTACGAACTGTCACTCCACAATTCACCACGTTTATCTGTTTATCTTCAATGTTGTGATGTTGAAGATGTCGTACGCTGGGTATCCCCAGCGAGGTAGAAGGGGTGGACGGCGCTGTTTGCCGACGGGAGGGGCATTTTGCACTTTAGCGACTTCCCATCGACGTGTCGACCCATCTAGACAGCCTCTTCTCGAGTTGACAGGTTTTACCATGATGGCTTGACGAGCTTGCTCCAGCTTCACAAGAGTTCACAGGTTTCACCAGAGTGAGACTTGTAAACCAGAACTAGTGAAGCAACGAAAGTGCAAAATGCCCCCCTCCCCCGTCGGCAAACTGCGCCGGGTGGGCATATCTGCTTGGGAGAAAAACTTTTCGGTTGTCAACTGTTCTCGGTTTTTCCCCTTTGGCTCTACTCCCCCTCTCCCTCCTACCACCACCGTCCCTCCCTGCCCTCTCTCGATGGTAGCCTCTGAGGAAATGTTTCCAGGGAAAAGCAGAGTTGGGAAGGAGATCGTACAGGAAACGGGGGGGGGGGCTGAGAGTGTAATATTTCTAGCCAAGGGCAGGAAGTGCCTGCTTACCACAGATTCTCCCTCGTCTATCTCCCTTCTTGTGAGCCCCATCAACGTCGTGATCAACTAACTATCTTCAAACGAATGGGAGACTTTCATTAGGGCTCCCTAAGCGCTTTATAACAAGACCTCTGTCATAGAGAATATTCCCCACAATGCAGTGAAGTAGGAGGCTGAAGCATACGATGGGCGTATCTGTGAGGCTGGGTTTGGCGCGCCGGCGACTAGCTCTGCGCCAGTTGCTCGAGCGGATATGCGGCGATAATTGGTGGAAAACGAGTGATACGAATGATGTGATACAGTCCCGTCGCTTGGAAAAAGAAAAGAAATGCTGACTCCGCGTCAACTCCATCCCCTCTTGACTCACTCCGTAACCAGCAGCAAAAAAGCAGTAGGTAGATTTAATCTTCGAGACATTAACGGCATTGTAGTGGTCCTTATGTAACAGCAAAAAAGATATTATTACCTTTTTGCAGGATCATCACACCGACAACCGATCTTACTTATCTAGAACTTTTTTTAAATTGACTTTTCAGACAGCGTACGTGCAGCTACATTTGAATCATTTTTGCCACAACTTGTAAGAGAGTTTTCAGCAAAACTTGTACAGAAGAAGAAGTGTACGGTAAGCCTTTGTAAATGGTTCAAAATCAGAAATTACCTGCCACTCCACACAGTATCGTTCCAGCCATTATAGCCTGGCCGACCAAGATTCCACAGAGCCACGTTTTATCCTGAAGAAGAAGGAAATAGGGAAACTGAGCGAACTAGTGGGGATATTCCAATACTGTGCTGTCTCGGAGCCTCATTGCAATCTGAATGTAACACATAAAAGAAGGCCAAAAATTTCCGTTGTAAGAAACTCCAAAGATATAAAGGAGCCCTAAAGTTATCGTGAAATTTTTTTTTTATTTTTATTCCTCCCTTCAGATATTTCGGTGCTTAGCACCTTCTTCAACAATCTGAAATACTGCAATTAGCTGATCGAAACCTGGACCCTGACTCCAGTGGTGTGCTACCTCCAATCGAGATCTGTCTCCGCTCTCTCGAGAGCCGCGCCTTGAATGAAGAAAACACTTCAAGGCACGGCTCTCGCAAGGACGCAGTGGAGGCAGATCTCGATTGGAGGCAGCACACCAGTGGAGTCAGGGTCCAGATCTCGATTGGAGACACACCAGTGGAGGCAGGGTCCAGGTTTTGATTGGAGGCAGCTAATTGCAGTATTTCAGATAACTGGAGAACGTGCGCACCGAAATATCCGAATACCGAAAATATTTTGCGAAAACTTCTGGGTTCTTTTCCTATCTTTGGAGTTTTTTTTTGCGATAAAAATTTTTGGCGCCTCTTTTAAGTGTTTTTACGTTCAGTGGGGATATTGCTGACAATCCTTTGCGATGGTGACAGTTACCCAACATAGACAAAAAATACAGAGCTATTCACGTAACTTCACGAAATCATCCGAACTTCACTTACTTGCGAATTGCCTACGGGTTAGAGGCAGTGGGCACGATGGCTGGGGGCGGGCGGTTGCTGCCAACGTCATTGGTGGGAGGGCGGAGTGGGCTGTGTACACACGCCCTCTCGCAACGCTTCACACTCACTGACAATGGCAGAAAGTGCCCACCTCCAGTCAGTACTCACCGCCTTCGAATTCCATAGGAATCATCTGGTTTTCTGCATGTCTCGTCCATTTCCTCGACCACTATCATATCTTTGCCAACTCTAGTAATGCTTTTCATTCGGACAATGGTGCAATTTGAGTTTGTTACGTGGACGGAAATGGCGTAGCAAAAAGTGCCGTTAGTGACGGTCGTGGTTTGAGGCAGGACACGTAGCACGTCGGGACCCTCAGCTCAAGAGTCTGGAGAGACGGGAGTCGCATTTACCTCGGGAAAAAGTAGTTCTTCCTTCCCAAGTGCGCTATATATCCCTCTCCTCTCAATGGCAGTTGCGTGAGGGAGAAGAAAGCTGACGAGTTTTAGGGGAAATCGCTTCAAAAATGGGGGAAGTTGGTGGATAGGATGGGAAAATGGCTTGTATCAGAGAATGAACTTCAAGGAGAAGTGTTATTTCACAAACATCTCCCACAATGGTAGGACGTGCCCTGATTTGAGTCCCTTCGAAACTAGCAAGTCTCTCTGAACTCTTTTACCTGTTTCTGATTTGGCTTGGCCATCCCCCATCCCACACCATTTTAGCCCATTCTTCGGCTTTAAGCCATAAAATATCGAAAGGCTTTTGTGAATTCGTCAAGGCTGCCGCGGTATATCGCCGCGTTTGACGTGTTTGTCAAAATGATGTCCTTGCTGGGGCCTTCTTCCTCCTAGAGCTTTTTCTGGAAACAGGACCTTAAAGGAATGGTCCGGACCTATGAAAATGCAGAAGACCGCTACGGAGGGTAGTGTAGCGAGGTGGTTGTCGCGAGCTCGCGAATCGAAAGCTGCACCACTCCACTTCGCTGCGCGACGGTTGGGGTATCAGCCAGTATGAGTAAGTCACGCGCTCTTGTGAGGCTGTTCCTCTGCCTTCTTGTTGGACGGGCATGTTGCGACAAAAAGGGCAGCTAAAATAACAGTATACGCACGAGGTAGACTTAGCAGTATTGTCATATTGCTCCTGTCAACAACTCGTGGAGAACAAGTTTGGGCCCGCGTCCAAACGCAGCCGCACCGGTGCCATGGTGGGGCGGGACGCCCAACCGTTCGCAATGAACTACACTATAAGGTGTAAGGGTCATGGTGCAAAATTGCTCCACTGATTCCTCCCTTTTCCAGTGACTCCGCCTCCCGACACACCAAAAAGCCGCAACCTTCCCAGCGTCAAACGCGATGCCTATTCGCTAATGAAATGAATGCTAAATACAATATGCATCTTGTCTCGTCATGTCTGTCATTACAAGGAACTGCAACTGGATCGTCCCAACAAGCGCGTTTTGTGGTGGACCAGGCTCATCCCGTTCGCAACTGCTGAGGCTGAAGGGTTATTATTTAAAGGTAAAAACGTTTAGCGGAGTTTCCTCTGGCACTTTCACGTCGTGGAGAGTTACTCGGAGCAGCTTCCCTTCCACATTTCAACACCGGCCAACACCACGCTCCTGTGGCAGACGCGTACCTTTAAAAGGTCAAAGGTTATCAATTCTTAGATGATTCTTCCACGACATTTCCGATGACCTTTTCTTGGGAGGCTGTCCTTGAAGCTAATAGTAAATGAATACATTATTACTGACTAGTAAAGCTACATAAGCGATATAGCGTTCATATTTTCCCATAACTCACCGTAAATATCTCGAACAGTCCACTTGGTTTGTCTCCTTCGACACCCTTTTTCATGTCTGCCATCAGTGGTTCGGTTTCGGCTTCATCCACACCGTGATAGAAAATTATTGCTTTCTCAGCCTCCTCCTTTTGGTCTTTCGTCAAGAGGAAGCTGAAACCCGTTAGGTTTTGACAAACTAAGGTAATTTGAGGGCACATTGTAGAGCCTTACCTTGGACTTTCCGGAAAGAAGTACATGCATATTGTTATGAAAACTGTAAGCAACAGTTCCACTCCATAAACCAGCCACCATGAATCCACCGTACCCCATATCTGAACATGCAAAATGACAAACCTTGTTTCCCAAGTATATCCATAATCTGTAGAATTTTGAGAACCAAGGCATTTAAGAAAACGTTCTCCATTTTTGCACGCGAAGCGTTGAAGGCCAGAGGCTTTCGCGCGTAGCAGAAGAAAACACCTCGAGGAGGGCTACAACTATTTCTTCCTGAAGGTAAAGCGCTCATGATGCAACTCCGAAAAACGGGAATCTCAGCACTCTACAAGCGTGAGCCCCAACCATTCACATTCTCTGATTAAACAGCATGTCGATCAGGGTACGCCCCGCTGTTGGAGAAAATTTTGCAAAACTCCCTCCCTCGAAACTCCCTCCCCTGATGACTTCCCACTCTTTAGTCACCACCAATCTATCAAGCATCTTCCTAAATCACCCCAACCTCGTAC